TTTGCTATAGGGCATGCGCACTCGTTAGAGAGACAGAGGAGATGTCTCTCCACCCCCCACCCCCGAAGATGCCCACACCATACTCCCTTCTCCTCCATTCTCCTCTTGAGATCTTGGGCACACACGCACACGTTCCCGGCATGAGTTTAAGCCACTGGGTTGGGGACTCAAACCACAGTCGACTACATGGGAGTCCAGCGACATAGGCATTACACCAACTGCTGGTCCCTAGACTTCATTTTTTTAAAAGTTTTTAATTGGGGCCAGAAGATAGCAGTTATGTAACTGGACTCCCACATAGTCAACCATAGTTCAAGTCCCAGACCTGGTGGCTTAAAACTTACACTGGGCATGTGTGCGTTTGTGCTTAAGATCTCAGGAGAATAGAGAAGAGATTGCGGCATGGCCACTGGCAAGTGCTGGCCCCTGGAGGCAGAAACCTCTTAAAATTTTTTTTTTAATTGTCAAAGGGTGTATGTGGTTGCCAGAGAAACAGAGAGAGAGAAGGAAGGAAATAAAGCACTTCCCCAGTGGGCGTGGTCATGCCACAATCTCTTTTCCATTTCTTCATCCTGTTGGGATTTTGGGGCATACACACACTGTACTTGACATGTTTCCCAAGCTGCCAGGGCCAGGATTTGAACTGTTGTCAACCATGTGGGATCTGACTCCCTTAACCATTAGGCCACAAGGTCGGTCCATAGACTTTACTATTTTTTTAATTGTTTAATTTTTTAATAATTTTTTGTTTGTTTTTTTGGAGAGGTTTTTGCTATAGGTCATGTGCGTTCACCAGAAAGACAGAGAAAAACAGAAAGACAGAAAGCGAGAAATCATCCCCCAGGGAGGATGGCCACGCTGCAATCCCTTCTTCTCCATTCTCCTCTCGGGATCTTGGGCACGCACACACACGTGCCCAGCATGAATTTAAGCCACTGGGTCTGAGACTCAAACCACAGTCGACTACATGGGAATCCAGTGACATAGTCATTACGCTAACTGCTGGTTCCTTATTATTGTTTTTTAAATTCATTATAGGAGAGAGAGAGAGAAAGTGAGAAGTAAGCCCCCAAGTCCAAGGCTCAAATCACGGTCAGCCATGTGGGAGTTCAGCACCTTAACCACCATGCCACCTGCTGGCCCCTAGACTTTAATATTTAGACTGTTTTAGTTGTAGAGAAAAACTGAGAAGATAACACAGAGTACTGAGTCCCCATGTACCCCACACTCAGTTTTCCCTGTTTGTTAGTACGGTACGTTTGCTATGATTAGAGGCATTATCATTACAGTCCATACTTTAGTTTGGATTTCCTTATGTTTTTTTTTTTTTAATGTTCTTTCTTTGTTCCAGGATCCCATCCAAGATACATTTCATTTAATTGTCGTGTCTCCTTAAGTTCCTGTTGGCTGTGACAGCTTCTCAGGCTGTCCTTGTTTTTGATGACCTGGAGAGTTCTGAGGAGTGTGGGTCAGGTATTTTGTAGAATGTTCCTGTACTGGAACTCACCGGATGTTTACCTCATGGGTATGGGTTTTGGGGAGGAAGACCAGGAGGTGAAGTGCCGTTTCAGCCCATCCAGTTACACCACAGCAGTCTCTGTTGACGTGGTGGTTGTTGACGTTGACCTTGATCTCCCAGCTGAGGTAGTGCTTGTGTAGTGTTTCTCTGCTGCACAGCCTTTCCTCTCTTGCCTTCTCCATACTGTGCTCTTTGGAAGACGGTGTAGTCCCTATGTGTCCACACTAAGGAGGAACGGGTTGTGCTCTCCTTCCATAGGGGTGGATAGCCACAGAAAATACTTGGAATTCTTCTGCATGGGAGATGTCTCTTCTCCCCCGTTTATTTATTTAGTAAGAAATTTATTTATATCAGCATGAACTCATGAATATGTATTTCATCCTTTGGGTAATAATTTAATATGTTTTTTTAAGATTTTTTTTTTTAAGAAAGATTTTTGCTATAGGGCACGTGCGCTCACCAGAGAGTCAAAGAGAAAAAGCGAGAAATCACCACCCTAGGGCGACGGCCATAGCACAATTCCTTCTCTTCCATTCTTTTGGGATTTTGGGCACACCCACACTCACGAGCCCAGCATGAGATGATGTGGTGGTTAAGGCGCTGGACACTCCCACATGGCCAACCATGGTTTGAGTCCCGGACCTAGTGGCTTGCTTTCTCACTTTCCTCCTCTCTCTGTGTCTGTCGGCCATAAGTAAATAAGTAAGTGAATAAAGTTAAATAAATAATTATTTTTTAAAAAAGAATTATTTAACTTTATTTATTTATTTTAATTTGTCCAGAGAGGGACAGAGTAAGAAAGAGAGAGAGAAAGTGAGAGAGCAAGCTGCCAGGTCTGGGCCTCAAGTTGTGGTCAGCCATTGTGGGAGTCGAAAAAACCACCACCCCCCCCTGCCAGTCCCCAGCATGAGTTTTAAGCTGGGTCTGGGACTTGAACTGCATTCGATCATGTGGGAGTCCAGTGACATAACCATTATGTCATCATCTGCTGGTCCCATGTTTTAAAAATATTTTTAAAGTTTATTTATTAATTTCTTCCATGGGAGAGAGAGAGAAAGATGGGGGAAGATAAAAAAGAATGAAAAAACCTACCAAAAAAGAGTAACAGGGCCAGCAGGTGGCAGCCTGGCCACCCCCGGATGTGTGTGGAGGGATTTCTCACTTTCCCTCTCACTGTCTCTGTCTGTCTCTTTCTGGTGAGCATACATACCTTGTGGCAAAAACCTTTTAAACAACAACAAAAAAAAATAGAATAGCAAAAAAAAAAATTGTTTAAATAAAATAATAGGAACAAGAGAAAGCTATTCCCAATTGGGTGCACATGCCACAATCTGCCCTAGCCTCAGCCAGGCCATATCATGAGGCCGTGCTCATACCTGGCATTCATGAGGAGATGGTGGGATGTGAACTTGGGACCTACCCACGTGGCTTCAGCATCGCTGCTGCCCCACCGCGGCTGAACCAATGCTTTCCTATTTCTTTTGATGCTCAAATGATTTCAGCTTTGACCATTGGGAGGTTTTCAGTTGCTCCTGTGCGCCTTTGGCATACCCACGTTGATGTGGGGGTTTGTTTTGGTTTTGAGCATTTCCTTACCTTCTGGCACTAAGAGTTGCTCTAGGCTCATCTTGTGTATTTCCTGCCCCCGTCCTAGAAACAGCCATTTCTCCAGGGAGCCCAGGAGATGGCTGTTTTCATTACAAGGTGATTACTCATCCTACATGAGGATAAAGGTACTGGTGCGTGCAAATTATTTTATGTAATTTGATCAACAATTTATGTTATTAGGAACATATATTTTGCTAAAAGCTAGATGCAGCTACTTGTTGTATCTAGCTTTTTAAAGTTTCCAGCTGAGGGCCCCGCAGGTGGCATAGTGGTTAAGGTGCTGACTTCCATGTGGCCCACTGCAGTTTGAGTCCTGGACCTGGTGGCTTGAAAATCATGCTGGGCATGTATGCATGCATACCCAAAATCCCAGAAGGAGAATGGAGGAGAAGAGATTGTGGTGTGGCCATTCCCCTCTGGGTGGGGGAGGGGGTAGGATGATTTCTCATTTTCCCTCAGACTGTCTCTGTCTCTCACCGGTGAGCACACATGCCCTATGACAAAAATCTTAAAAAAAAAGTTTCCAGTTGGGCTAGGGTATGAAAAGCTACCCTAAAAGAGGAAAGTGTCTATTTCTTTTTCTCCACCCTCATCGTGAAAGGAGGTCAGTGGTGATACTGCGGAGCAATAGAAGGATTTTGCAGTAAAAACTAATACACTGGAAGGAGTACCAGGATAGGATTCAAAAGCTGAGCTTAGACCAGATGTTGCTTCTGCACCTGTATGCACTTGGTCAAGGGTCACTTCTACTCTTTTGCTTCTCTATAAAAAGAGGTGAGTGGCGGAGTCCATTTCTAAAGTTCCTTTTAGCGCTAAAAGTCGGATGCTATTGAGAGCAGCACATAAACTCTGGAATGGCTTTAGCTCTGAGGAATCCAAGGTGGGAAGTGGGGACAGGCATGGAAGTGTGAAAGGAAGGCCAAGTCGTAAAATGCAGAATTTGGAAGCCCAAGGGAGAGGCATCATTAACGATGATATTAAATATTAATAATAATATGAAAGTCCTGAGCTGGATTTTTCTTTAATTGCTAGAGAGTACATGCACTTGCCAGAGAAGGGAAGGCAGAGAGAGAGAAAGCACCCCTCAATGGGGCATGGTCATGCCACAATCCCTTCTCCATTTCTCCCCCTATCAGGATTTAGGTGTGCATATACACAAGCCCAGCATGGTTTTCAAGCCACTGGGGAGAGGATTCAAACTGCAGATGGTCATATGGTTTGATCACTAGGCCACAGGACCAGCCCTTGATCTGGATTTAATGTAGCCTGCATCTGTTGTTCTAGGTCTCCGGCTGATTGTGCTCGAGGCTGCAGGTTCTCAAGGTGGCTACACACTTGACTCTTTTACTGTCTGGGTTTCAGTGATAGAGATTCTGAGCAACCTAGGCTAGGAGTTTTTAACTCTTGCCCTCCCCCAACCACTCCCCTGGGTAATTCTAAAGAATTATTCATTTTATTTACAACATCGCTATTATTATTATTTTAATTTGCTATAGGGCGTATGTGCTCACCAGAAACAGAGAGAGAAAGTGAGAAAGAAGCAAGCTGCCAGGTCTGGGATCGAACCATAGTTGGCCATGTGGGATTCCAGTGCCTTCACCACCTGCTGCCCCCCTCACCCTCCAGGTGATTCTTTTTTTTTTTTTTTTGAGAGTTTTTTGCTATAGGGCTCATGCGCTCGCCAGATAGACAGAGAGAGACAGAGACAGAAAGCAAGAAATCACCCCTTAGGGGGGATGGCCACGCCACAATCCGTTATCCTTCATTCTCCTCTTGGGATATTGGGCACGCATGCACACGCTCCCGGCGTGAGTTTAAGCCACTGGGTCTGGGACTCAAACCACAGTCGACTACATGGGAGTCCGGCAACACAGCCATTATGCCAACTGCTGGTCCCATTCTTCCAGATGATTCTAATTGCAGCTAAGGCTGAGAACCTCTGCTTTAGGTCAAAAATGCTCTTATCCCATCCTCATAAAACGCATAGATCATAGGGATCAGCAGTTAGCATAATGGCTATGTCGCTGAACTCCCATGTAGTCGACTGTGGTTCGAGTTCTGGACCCGATGGCTTAAACTCACGCCAAGCACTTGTGCATGCGTGCCCAAGATCCCGAGAGGAGAATGGAGAAGAAGGGATTGCGGCGTGGCCATCCCCCCCTGGGGGGGGGTGATTTCTCACTTTCTGTCTCTCTTTCTCTCTCTGTTTTTCTGGCAAGCGCACGCGCCCTATAGCAAAAACAAAACAAAACAAAACAAAAAAACATAGATCATAGGTCCTCAGAATGCATTGTTCATAGAAGCTGATTAATTGGACTTTGATAGTGTATTGGTTTCCTATTGCTAAGATGATAAATCGCCACAAATGTAATGGCTTAAAATAAACAAATTTATTTACATTTTTAAGATTATTGGGACCAGCAGATGTCATTGTGGTTATATTGCTGGACTCCCACATAGTCGACCACAATAGTTCTGGCACTGACAGCTTGAAACTCCTGGCAGGCACGTGTGCTTGCAGTCCCAAAATCCCAAGAGAAGAATGGAGGAGAAGGGATTGCGGCGTGGCCATTCCCCCTGGGGGGTGATTTCTTGCTTTCTGTCTCTGTCTCTCTCTCTCTGTCTCTCTGGTGAGGACATGTACCCTAAAGCAAAAATCTCTCTCAAAAAAGATTATTCACTTATTTCCTGAATCAAGGGACACACATAACAGTGTCCCCCCTTTCTTAAAAAACAATTATTTATTTAATTTATTATTTTTATCCTTCGATTTGCCCAAAGAGAGAGGGAGAGAGAGAAAAGGCAAGCCAGCAGGTCCGGGACTCGAACTGTGGTCATCATGTGGGAGCCCAGTATCACCATAGCACCTGCTGGCTCCCCTGGACACTGTCTTCATACTGAAATCCTCCCCCTGGCTCTGTAGCCAGCTAGGATCATAGGATGTCCTCAGATGTGACATGTTGATGCAGGCCCAGGAAGTGATCCCAGAACCTCCTCACATGGTCTCCAGCATCATGCAGCACCCCTACTGCCTGCGCCACCACACTGGGCCAGGATTATTACTATTTTTACATTTCTGGATGTCGGAGATCCATAATTGATCTCACTGGGCGAACATCATGCTATCGCAGTGCTGTATCCCTTCTGGAGGCTCTAGGGAGAACCACTTCCCAGCCTGCTCCAGCTTTTAAAATTTATTTATTATTTTAAAAAATTTGCTCCAGGGTAGGGAACCAGCAGTTAGCGTAATGGCTATGTCGCTGGACTCCCACATAGTTGACCACGGTTCGCGTCCCGGACCCGGTGGCTTAAACTCACGCCGGGCGCGTGTGCATGCATGCCCAAGATCCCGAGAGGAGAATGGAGGAGGGATTGCAGCGTGACCATCCCCCCTGGGGGGTGATTTCTCGCTTTCTGTCTCTATGTCTTTCTATCTGGTGGGCGCACGCACCCTATAGTGAAAACCTCTCCAAAAAAAATAATAAAATTGGCTCCAGGGCACATGCACTCACTGGAGAAACAGAGGGAAAGTCAGAAAGTCCCCCCCCCCAGGGGGGGATGGCCATGCCACATTCTCTTTTCCTCCACTCTCCTCTCGGGATTTGGGGCAAGCACACGTACCCAGTGTGTTTCTCAAGCCATCGGGTCTGCAACTCAAACTGTGCAGTCAGCCATGTGGAATCCAGTCCCTTCACCACCACACCACTGGCTGACCCCCTTGTCCCAGCTTTCGGAGATTGCCCACACTCTTTGGTTCGAGGCCCCGAGCCTCCCAGATCTGCTCCCACGCTCACATCTTGTCTGACTGTCCTCTTACATTCCTTGTCTAAGGTCTCCTGTGATCGCACTGGCTTTCAGGTATGCTCTCCCCACCTCAGAACCTTTTATTACATTTGCGGCATGCCTTTAGCCATGTAAGGTAACATGTTCACAGGTTCCAGGAATTAGGACATGGACATCTCTGTGGGGACATTATTCTACCTACCACAAATGCAGACAGAGCAACTGCTATAATTACAGGCCCATAAATAGAATTAAGCTACTCTGTGATATGTGACATCTCTTTACTTCACCTTTTTTTTTTTTTAACTGTGTTTAGATTTCATCAGAGACCGTCTTTGTGGAAATGTTATACACCTTGGAGAGAAAAAAAAAAGTCTTTTTTTTAATTTTGGAGAGGTTTTTGCTATAGGGCACGTGCACTCACCAGACAGAGAGAGAAACAGAGAGATAGAAAGCGAGAAATCACCCCCCCAGGGGGGATGGTCACGCCACAATCTCTTCTCCTCCATTCTCCTCTTGGGATCTTGGACACGCACGCACACGCACCCTCCCCTGCTCCCGGTTTCTACGCCACTGGGTCGGGGCCGTGACCCGCCGTCAACTATGTGGGAGTCCAGCGACATAGCCATTATGCTAACTGCTGGTCCCCAGAAAAAAGTCTTAATTTGCCAGAGGGTACAAGTACCTGCCAGAGCAGACAGAGAGGGAGAAAGCATGCCCTAATGGGACATTGGCCACACTGCAATGCTTTCCTCCCTTCTCCATCCTGTCAAGATTAGGAAGATGCACACATATGTGTCCACATGTTTTTAAGTTGCCAGAACCTAGATTCAGACTGCACAGTGGGCCATGTGGGATCTAGCTCCCTTAACCATGGGGTCCAGGCTGGACCACCCATAGTGAAAATTTAACATATGGGAAAAAACAAAAACAAAAACAAAAAAACAGTAAGGGACCAACATGGGGCACTGGACTCACACATGGTTGACCATGGTTTGAGTCCTGGATTTAGCAGCTTAAAAATCGCTCCAGGTACACATGCGTACATGCCCAAGATCCTGAAGGGAGAATGGAGGTGAAGGGATTGTGGCGTAGCCATTTCCCTTGGGGAGTGATTTCTCACTTTCCCTCTCACCATCTCTCTGTCTCTCTCTGGTGTGTGCATGCATCCTATGGCAGAAACCTAAAGGGAAGAAAAGGAAAAAACAAAAAAACAAAAACAGTGAGGTGACTGGGAGCAACAGAAATAAAGAGCAGAGACACATTTTTAAGTGATTCAGTTTAATGAGGCCAGTAGGTGGTAGTGTGGTTAAGGCAGTTGGACTCCCACATGGCTGACAGTGGTTCAAGTCTTGAACCTGGAGGCTTGCTTTCTCACTTTCCCTCTCTCTTTGTTTCTGGTCAAATTTTAAAAGTAATAATAATGGTAGTAAATAAAATTAAATAATTCTATTTCAAAATGATTCAGTAAAATGGTATTCAGAACTACAGTTGGCTGTGGTGAGTTTTAAAAGGTGGGGAAGCTCACTCAGACAGAAGGTGGCCTCCAGATCTGGGGCATGACTGGCATCTCTGCCGTGTGGTTTCACTGCCTTCCCTGTGCTCCCTGAGACTGGTCGTGCCATGGCACAGGAAACCAGCTAGCACCTACAGGCCCCCACACAGTCCTCCTGTACCTCCCTCTCTCCGGGACAGAGTAAGAGAGGTCTGAATCAGAAGGGGGCAGTGAGTAGGGGCTGTGTACACAGGCAGAGGAGGGTCCTGAAAGACATGGTTTTTGATAAGAGTTGGCCCTTCCCAGCCACTAGGCATCTGCCCTCCCCTGCCAGGTAGCAAAGAACCTTTGTAAAAGAGGCCTACGTGGAAAAATGTCTTTCTTTCAAGAGATGAGGTTGGCCCTGTCACCTCTTCTAGGGACCCCACCCCATCTCCCACCCAAGGCTCTGAGTAGCTCTTTCTAGCTGGTTTCTGTCTTGCAGGACAGTGGAGTGTAGTCAGCCATCTCCTTCCCCACTGAGTCGGTCAAGTCCCTGCTGCTGAGAGCGCTCTCCTGCCAGAGCTTGGCCTCATCTATTGCCATGGCGACGGCCAGCTGCTGCTTAGCACCAGCCTGGAGACTGGGCACGAAGAAAGGGTAGCCAAGAGAGGAGGCCTGGGGGGCAGAGAAGGCCCCTGTGGGGACCCCCAGCAGTCTCTGCTGGGTTTGTTTTCTCAGGGAGAAGCCACAGCATTTGAAAGGCCTATACTCTTCTATTCCTCCACACTCATATTGGAGTTTATAAAGATAAAGGCTCCTTTGGCAAAGCAGTGCCAGTTCTTATGCGTGCACACTCACACTTTCACGCTGCCTGCACTTTCTTTGTATTTTGATGCCATTATTGTCCTCCCAAAGGATTAGAGAACTGGGAGTATGCATCTCCCTGGGCCTGCTTTAGCAGTAAGAGCGGCCCTTTGATGTAGACAGACTAGAACTCAAAAGTTCATCATTTCCGGGCATGATAGTGGCACAGCAGTAATGCTACTGGACCCACACTGGTCACTCTGGTTCACGTTCCGTGGCCTCCCTGTATGCTCTGGCAGTGCACATGTATGCCCGCAGTCTGAGTTGACTGTGCCGCCCGTTGGGGGTGCCTGCCCCCCTCTTTCTCATTTGGAAGGAATAGATATGTAAATAAAATTTTCACAGTTTCTGAGTTAGTTAACCGTTATGATACAATATTTCATGTCAGGTATTGTGTCGAATGCTTTTTGAACATTATCTTATTTCATTCTCACTGTGATCATTAGACGTAATGGTTTCTTTTTTTTTTTAAGAGGTTTTTTTGCTGTAGGGTGCTTGTGTTCACTGGAAAGACAGAGAAAGAGACAGAAAGTCAGAAATCACCCCTGGAGGGATGGCCATGCCTCAGTTCCTTCTCTTCAACTCACCTCTCAGGATTTTGGGCACACACACATGTGCCAAGCGTGAGTTTGAAGCCACCAGGTCCGGGACTCTAACCATGGTCGACTACATGGAAGTCCAGCAACATAACCATTATGCTATCTGCTGGCCCCAAGTTTATTTGTTCTTAATTCCCACCTTTAGATACAGAAACCGAGGCTTAGAATTGCAGCTGGCAGTGGTGATTAAGGAGGCTGAATCCCATATGGCTGACTGCACACTTTGAGTCCAAGACCCAGTAGCTTGAAAAACACACCGGGGGCGTGTGCATACACGCCCAAAGTCCCCAAAGGAGAAAGTAGAAGAGAAGGAATTGCTGCACGACTATCCCCCATGGGGGTGAGGGGTTGTTTTCTCACTTTCTCTCTCCCTCTAACTCTCTCTGTCTCTCTCCAGTGACTACATGTGCCTTCTGGCAAATTTAAAAAAGAGAGTGAGAAATGCACACCACATGGACCCTAGTTTGACTTCTCGGAAGCCTATGTTCTAATCACTCTTCTGGATTAACCTCGTATTGCCGGTTTCCTCCTCTGTAAAATGGGGTTAATATCTGCCTCAAAGATAACTGTGCTGTGAAGGTTGAATGAGCTAATGTTAGTAAAAGTGTCTCATGGGGGCCAGCAGATGGCATAATGATTACATCACTGGATTCTCATATGGCCCACCATGGTTCGAGTCCCAGACCAGGAGGCTTGAAACCCATGCTGGGTGTGTGTGTGTATGTGCGCCCAAAATCCTGAGAAGAGAATGGAGGAGAGGGGATTGTGGTGTGGCCATCCCCCCTTGGGGGGTGATTTTTCTCTTTCTGTTTCAGTCTCTCCCTGGCGAGTGCGCGTGCCCTATAGCAAAAATCTCTCTCTCTAAAAAAAGAAGTGACTCAAGGAGGTAAAACACCCATCACCAACACTTGTGCAGTATCACCTGGGAGGAGAAAGGTGCTCCCTCTGGGACCTGGGAAAGTCGCTGCCTCCTAGTCTCCTACAAGGTCCCTCATGGCATTCAGGGCTCTCTGGTTTCCAGAATCTCAAGGCTTGGCATCCCCCACCCCCATTCTCACAGGTGATTTCCATGGTGATGGTGGCAGTGGGAGTCTACGCCCGACTGATGAAGCACGCAGGTGAGCTCTGGCCTCCCTCTGCCTCCCCAGGCCTCCTGCCATCTCCTTCCTCTTGTGCCTCCTTGAACCTGGCCATCTTGCACACCTTTCTGCAGGAGCTACTTGCTAAAGGAGGCAAGCTCCTGGTTGCCAGATCTTAGCGGCCTACTCCGTGCTGTCAGGCCACCCACACCGGTTCACTTGGACTGCCCTGAGCCCCCACAGTCCTCTCCATGGTAGGCTTAGGAAGTGCCTGGGAGAGAAGGTAGGTCAGAGAGACATCAGGACGTGAGCCCCTCCCCGACTGTCCTGGAGAACAATCTCCATTCCTTTTCCACTGCATAAAGTCTCCAGGAAACAGAATCTGTAAAGCTGGTGAGCCTAATGCCATTCTGATTCTTTTCTGGAGCAAAAGCGGCCCCTCCTCTTTAAGCCCAGGAATAGAGGCTCTTACTTCCTGAGTTCTTCCCATTGAATACCACAACCTCTTCTGGCCCCTTGTTATTTTCCGTGGGAGGGGACACTTATCCAACCTGTGGAGATCCCC